TATCTATCAACAAGCGGGCTGCAGGTGCAGTGCAATGGAATTGCGGGTGAACGAATGGCGCCGAATGCTTGGGGGCGGCCATTGAGAACCGCACCTCACTCACACTTTGGATACCGATCTAGCCAGCCCGTCCGGGTGGGAGGTGGGCTGCTCTCTCCGACTTCAGGTCTAGCAGCGATGAGGACGGCCGTGATTGGCCTGTTGCAGCTGGAGAGTGGATGGTGGGGGTGGACTCCCAGAGGGTCTTGGCAAGGAAGCAACACTTTGAAACATGACGCTCGCTGTGTTTGTGAGGCACTGTTTGCTGCCCGGCGTCATCTCTCTCGCTTCCTCTTTTCTTTTTTCTGCGTCCCCTTCTCCTCGCAGCTCGCAGCGTACCGGGGGCCGATCAAGGGCAGCCTGGACATGGAATGGCCGTCTACCCGTCCGCGCCAGGTTCAGGTTCAGGGACGACACAATGCCGCGCACCCCTACTCGCCTCGACACCAAGACACCAAAATAACCACTGCGGGCAGAATGGGCGACAATAATACTTGTCGATATAATAAAATGCAGAGCAAAATAGATGAGATTCATCGACACCGCAGAGTACCGCCGTTCCACCACTCCAGGTGTCCACTCCCCATTCCATGTCCATTAACATACTGTCACCGTGCCGTGTCATGTCACCCGTGGCTTGGGAGGACAGCTGATAGCCTTCTTGCGCACTAGTGCCCGATGCTGCGTGTCGCTGTGCACGTCGAAATCAAGCCAAATTGGAAATGAAGCTACATAGCATCCCTAATTAATCGTGATGCGTGTGAGCCGCGGCGACTCGAGTCCTCGGCCTCCAGTGCCCACCATTGGTATTTCCTATTTGGGGGCAACTGGACCTGGACCACTCTGGAGTCTGGACTGCCGAGGTACGTACCCCCGCCTCCAACTGGCAACACCAGGGCAGGCGCCGTTCCATCGGTAGTTCCTGCGCTCCCGTCGTAAGGCATGTACTTTGTACTGCGCACCTCGTGTCTCCGATGGCACCCTAAGAGCGACAGCACCGAGACCCTTAACCTTCCACGACCGCCAGGAGCCGCTCTATCTTGAGATGCCGCACGCTTGACAGATGCAACCCCAATCTAACCGAGACTCCCAATGGAATGGGTCCCCTTCGTTCCGCGCAAGCTAATTGAAGCTAGGGAGAACGACTACGTACGTCTTCCTTCTAGACACTGGACGCTTTCTACACCTGCTGTGGCCACCAACGAGTTCTCGCTGATGGTTTGTTGCTAGTGCTGTACTGTACCTTCGAACCATCAGAACACTACGGTCTCAGCTCGCCTCAGCCGTGGCATGTCGCAGTCGATGAACGCCTCTGGGCCGTCCGCTAAGTCTCATTTGGCCAGCCGCACCACTCGTTCGTCTGCCATGTCCCACGGAAGGGATAGACTGTCGCCAAGTCTCTGATGTGCTTTTTCCAGCCTCGGACGAGCTCAGGACACCTGTCTGCAGGGAGAGAAAGATAGCCACATTAACATCAGGGGCGAAGGAATGCTCACGCAATATGCTAATGTTCAGATAGATCGAGGTTGCAACTCCGACCTCCTAAACGCCGTCTGTCATCTCCGCCAAGCCACACGTGTAACCCATCTGCGTTGAACTGCTTCCTGACCATTATCAGCATGAGCCATGCGCCCGAGCCTGCGGTAAGCACGACAGGGCCACATCGTGTTTATACGACATGCATGGTGCCCTCCAAGACCAGTTCGTGAGCGGCCCGTGACGGACGCCACAGACAGCCTTGGACGGTGTAGACATTACATTCGGTCGCCATTCCGTCGACGTTCACGGACTCGACTCGCTGACGAATGTGTAGACGGCGCATAGTCTTCCATTGGATGACGACGAGCGGAGCATGTTAGCCCGGACTCCCACTCGCCCGGCAGCTTCGACGTGGAGCCGTGATGACCAGAGCCTTCGCCAGCTCCGGCAGCACGCGCGGGCGCGCCGTCTAGACCGGGGAGGGCGGCTGCGCGTCTCTAGTGGCTTGAGATGGCCTTGTGGGGGTCTTCCGCGCAAGAATGTGGTGCTCATATTTACCACGCTCTTCCCTCCATATCTCGGATTGGCCCACGCACCACACAGCCTCGTGGTGTCCGGGGAATGCTGAAACGCTCCAACGTGAATTCTAGGAAGGCAAGGGAAACATTGGCCTATCCCAGCGAGGCACGGAGTGAACGGTAATCAAATTCCACGCAACCACTGACATGTTCATCGCGAGGGATATGCGCCAGATGATCCGACGATTGATTGCCGGCAGCGAGCAATGGGAGGCTCCCAAGCCCTGACAATAAAGTCAAGAGAAGCTAAATTTGGCCACCAAGGGAGCCACCACCACGTCCATCGAGAGACCCCGTCCCGCCGGCGGTGTGGTGCGGGCTTGCATGCTGCTGCCGTCTTCAGATGAGATTGACGCAGGGGCATTGAAGATCATGGATCAGGACATGGCGAATTCTCAAGAAGCGGTGATGCCAAGTCTTCATCACCTCGCTGTTCTCACAAGTTGATTCTGGGCCACCGCGCGGCGGTAGGTACTCTAGACTCCTCTGGTCAAGCGTTTCAACATCCCATGTCCTAGCCATTAGAGGTTCTTGTCAACGGTTGATCGTAACAGTTTGAGGCCAAACGGTGGGTGGAGCAGACGGATATACGGGCGGATGAGGCGTGCCGTGCTGTTGTGGTATGCTGTTGCACTGGTTGAATGAAGTGCGACAGCGGCGGCCAAGACAGGTCTCTTGCTCTCGACGGGCTGACAGACGTTTTGCAGTGAATGGTGACAGGGACGAAGGCTTGACGCTGGGCGCTTGGCAGTACCACTGTCGCTTGGCTTTTGGAGATTCGCTGTCTCAGAGGGCAAACCTTCCAATCTAGGAGTTTATTGTTAATTGTTCTCTGTCAAACTTTATTTGGGGATTCGACAGGAAGTGTTCGATTTGCTGGGGACAGCCCAGCCCGAAGGCGCCGGGTCACTCAACTCAACTCAACTAAACCCAAACCAACCCAGGAGGACGGCACTGTCAGAGACGCGGTCATCCTGGGTCAGAACTGGCCGGTTGCTCCGTCGAAACCAACTCTGTGTCAAGGCCAATGGCCACGGTCCACATGGTGACGTGTGCCCACATTGGATCAGATCACTGAAGGTTCGCTGGGATGGCTGCGAGAGCGAAAGAGAGAACAATTAGAGAGAGTTGGGGCGCTTGTCGGACAGCCCGGTGTTCTCGCGCATTGCCAGACAGTGGCAGGCCCCGTCTCCGTCTGTTCAAGCGCGAGCTGGGGACATGGTGGTTCAAAATTACCTTGGACGCCCATACAAAGTGAATGAACACGACAAGGCTGCGTTCGTCGATCTCATGGTTTTCGCTGATGAAGCCTGGGGGGGGAACCAAAAGATGGTGGTCTCGTATTGCGCCAAACCGCTTGCCGCCCTGCGGTTGTCCTGCGGCGCGAAAAAAAAAAAAAAAAAAAAAAAAGGACCATCCCAGAGACCAGACGATACGGCGACATCTGAGCGGGTGTCTTGCGCGTACTGTAAGGTACCGTACCACGGATCAGGTTCAGGCTGCCATCCTGAGTGTTGCAGATTTGATGGCAAAGCAAACAAGTCTTGCAGATGGCTCTCGTGGATCCAGGCGGTGATTGGGCTGGAGAGGGGCTGAAGTCTACGCCTAGTGGCTTGGCGCTAGCCTGCTGCTAGGAAGCCTGCTGCTGGGAGACATATGTTTTGGGCGTCGAAAACGAACGAACCTAATAAGCCCCTCGGATGGGCAAACAAGCTGGGAATTTGGGAGAAGCAAAATAAGCCCCGGACGCCGTGGACGCCAATCAACAAGCCATGGGGAGCCAGTCTTGTACGCAGTAGGCCGAGAGCCCAAGAGTCTGTCTCCAGGGACGACTCGATGCAGTCGGCTTCGGGTCTGGCGCGCGGTCTGTGATGGCGATCCAGTGTAAGTATCCGTACCTTACCTTATTACCTAGGTAGCCTCGGGTGGGCGGTACTTCTCTTGTGACTTTCCACCTGTGCCGCTCGTCTTTAGCAGCGACCGAGCAGTACGTGGCCAGAGAGGATGGTGCCGTCAGACTATTTGCCGTCGCTTGTATTTCGCGCGTTGGTGCGAAATCCATTTCTTTGCCCCCAATCTGAATCTGACGATTACTTGCCTGCTTCCACCCACTGCCGTCCCGTCCGTCTCAACAAGCCCTACCTAAATCCCCAAATCCCAGGGACGCGGACGGCGGCCAAGTCGCCTTGTTCCGTCGGGGGCTCCTAGGGCCAAAAAGGCGAGACCAGGGCAGGCAGCGGAAGGCTTAGCTTTGGATGGAGAAGAGCCCTGAGGAGACGGACAGGCCTGACGAGCGCCGGAGCTTGCGTGCCAACGTGCTAATTCCCCTCTCTGGCCCCTGCCCGCCTCAGGACCTGGGCTCGCTCTCCTCAGTCGCACCCGCCCGTCCTGCCCCTCCCCTGCCCTCCACTGCCCTTATTACAGCGTGAGCGTGGTGTAGGTTCTGAGGTGGTTCCCAGGGACGGTGGACCGGCGAGGGACTTGCGTCGTCTCCCTCCCACCTTCCACGTCCCAGACCCCTGCCCCTGCCCTCCACTCTGCTACCCCTGCCGCTTTCAGCCCGGGGCACTAGGTAGGTGCGACCGTCGCCCGCCGAGACCTGGCAAGAAGAACGCCTCGGACCTTTCCATGTGTATCATTATATCTGCACCCGTCACTCCTCTCCGTCAATTCCGCGCAACCACCTCCGGAATTTGACAAGACGAGCTTTCTCCCTTGGCTGCATTCCAGCACATGCCCGAGACTCCCTTCGTGTAACCGCTGTCGAGCGCTCCATGGTTGACTGAAAAAGGACCGCCAACCCCTCGATGATCACCGATTCGCACTACCCACGCCCCAAACCACCCATCGTCGCTCACTCTCGCGGTCTCATTAACCACACTCTCAATCCGCAAAATTCTCACAATGGCCGACAGCCAGCGCACAGAACGAGCGGGGTCCTTCGCCTCGTCCTCCACCGAAACCGCGACTCTTCACGAGCTCACCAAGCTGGACCCGATGGAGGACAGCGTGCAGAATCTCAAGTCGCTCAACGACGAGGAGAGGCTCGCCGACGCTGAGGAGGATGAGAAGCTTCTGCCCTCCAGCAATGAGAAAGAGGAGCCCCCGAAGGCGAAGGCCAGCTTTGCCGGTGCCGTTGTATGGATGGTCGTAAACACCTTGGCCACCATTGGAATCGTGAGTTTGGAGAAACCCTCAGAGACAAGGAACAACGTCGAAGAAGCTGTTTTTGCTAACTTTGAGACTAGGTTTTCACAAACAAGGCCATCTTCTCCGACCCTCAATGGAAGTTGTGCCAGCTCACGTTTGCGAGTTTCCACTTCCTCGTCACTTTCCTCACGCTTCACATTCTCTCGCGACCCATGTTCGCCTACTTCACCCCGCGCCGCGCTTCGATCAGGGACCTCCTCCCGCTGTCTATCGCCATGTGCCTGAACGTTATTCTGCCGAACCTGTCGCTGGCATTTTCTTCCGTCACGTTTTATCAGATCGCCCGTATTCTTTTGACACCGACTGTCGCCCTGATGAATTTCGTCCTGTACAAGGCGACGCTGCCCCGGAATGCGATCCTGGCTCTCATCCCGGCCTGCCTTGGCGTCGGAATGGTCTCATACTATGACTCTCTCCCCACCTCAGACTCGAAGATCAAGACGACTTCCAGCCTGGGCGTGTTCTTCGCCTTCACTGGCATCTTTGCGTCGTCGCTCTACACCGTCTGGATTGCCAGCTACCACCGCAAGCTCCAGATGTCCAGCATGCAGCTGCTGTACAACCAGGCGCCCATTGCCTCCTTCCTGCTGCTCTACGTCATTCCCTTCGTCGATACGTTCCCCGACTGGATGACTGTGCCCGGCAACCGCTGGCTCATGATCGGCATGGTGAGTCGAACTGTTTTGAGACTGTCGAGGATAGTTGCTAATTTTCTCAGTCTGGTGCCTTCGCCTCTCTCATCAACATTTCTCAGTTTTTCATCATCGCCCAAACCGGCCCCGTGTCAAGTACCGTTGTCGGCCACCTCAAGACCTGCACAATTGTCGCTCTCGGCTGGATGGTCTCCGGTCGTGCCATCGGTGACAAGTCGGTCCTGGGTGTCTTCGTTGCTATTGGTGGCATTGTCGGGTGAGTTCTTCAGTAACCTACACCGACCACGTGCTTGCGGCTAACCAACTGCAGCTACTCTGTCGTCATGCTTCAGCACCAGAAGCAGCAGCGCAAGTAAATCATGGACATGCGCGGCTTGCGTCATTTTATAACTTGTTCTACTTATTGTGCATTTGAAGCGCTGGACATGACGGCGTTCTGTAGATTGGGGGTCTGTGGGAATTAGAAAGGGTCTACTATGGATGATACCTCTTATGTGAAACCAAACCTTTCACGGCTCGGCGTCTGGGGAATATGATGGTCGAAATTATACACAAACAATGAATTGATAACTTTTTTTTTTTTTTTTCCCTCATCGGTCCGAGACATGATACCTAACCCTGCCCCAATTCGTCTGATACGGTCTCTATCTCATGCAACAGAAAAACGCCGTTCGGGGTAGTCCCTGACCAAATACCATGCAAGAAATCGCATCTGACTCTTGCGATTCGCTCTCCAGATGAACTTCGGCTACAAGTTGAAGCGCTTCCGGTCCTTCTCCATCCTGGCCTTCCACTCCCACGGCTGCGCGTCGTCACCCTCGCTGCCGGCTCTTCCAATACCCTTGTCCACCCTCCTCAGCTTCGCGGTGAAGCGGGGGCCGACCTCCTGCAGGCCGACGCGGATGCCCTCGACGCCCTTCATCTCGCTGCCCTCTGCCGTGACAATGTTCTTCTCAGTCTCGCGCTTCTCGCGGAAGACGTAGCGGTGGCGGCGCCAGAAGAGGTAGTCGCGCTGGTTGTGGATCGTCAGGACCTGGCGGCCCTCGAACTCGGGCTGGGGCGGGAACAGGCGCTGGAAGAGGGCGGCGGTGAGCATGCCGAGGGGCGTCTTGAAGTTGTTGAGCAGCAGCTCCGGGTAGTGGTTCGTCGGGTTGCCGTGGCCGGGCAGCTTCTTGCCCTCCATGAAGTTGGTGATGGAGAAGGTGAAGGTCGGGCCGGCGGGCAGGTGGACGATGCTCATGCCCGTGAGCTTCTTCTGGTCCTCCTTGAGCAGGACGACGGCGGTGTAGTCGCGGTTCGCGGCGAACTTGCTGATCTCGCGGAGGGAGTACTTGTGGCCGAAGCGGTGGGCGGAGCGCGGGACGTAGGTGGCGTTGGGGAAGACGGAGCGGAAGATGTTGGCCTCGTGGTGGAGGGTCGAGTTGAGGGAGGTGGTGAGGAGGACCTTGGGGACGGGCGGCGGGGTGTCGGTGAAGAGCATGGGGAACTTGAGGGCGAGGGAGGATGGCGTGAGGTCGAGGTTTGTGCTGGTTGTCGAGGGCGCTGTAGAGTTATCCCTGCGCGCGCGCTTCTTCTCCTCGCGTTTCCTCTCGCGCTCCGCCCTCTTTGCCTCCGCCGCCTCCTCGTCATCCTCGTCGTCCGACGCCAGCATGCTGTCTGCGTCGCTGTCGTCGCCCTCCTCCTCGTCGATTTCACGATCGAGCTCCGCGTTCTGCGCCGCCTCTTCCTCCTCTATCCTCCGCCTCTTGAGCTTCTCCACGTCCACCTGCATGCCCAGGCTGTCGTCGTCGACATCGTCCCACACGCGCTTCTGGTCGAGCGTCTTTGGCTGGTTCTTGGCGAGGCGCTGGGCCTTGAGCTCGGGGTCCTTGTCCTCCTCCTTCTTCCGGCGGAAGCGCCTCTCGCGCTGATCCTTGTCCTTCTCCTTCTTGTTGAGCACGTAGAGCTCCTTGCGCTTGAGCTTGTTGGAGGTCTTGGTCGACAGCGAGGCCGACATGGACCTGCCCGGCTTGGAGAAGCCCATGCCTGATTATTCTTTGGACAGCGAGAGCGCGACGGGTATCGTGGTGTCAATTGAGGCAAGAGGGGATGCTGTCGTAGTGTAGCGGTTCGCAACGTGCTAAGATGCCGGTAAAAAGTCGAAATCAAAGTGCTGGTCGACGCTCGGTGAAAATCAGTTTGGAGAAATTTTGGCGGGGCACCGACCAATCCCTGCAGCAAATGCATCTGAACGGGACCGGGCCCGCGGGGGCCAGGGGTGTCTCTCGGCGAATTGAATTTTCCGTCACTTTCCCCTCACTTTTTTTTTGTTTTTTTGGTCCTTCCCTCCGTTCCACCCGGTCCAATGCTTTACGCCGTTCACGCTCTGGCGGGTGGTCCGTCCGGTACCTGAGGTGGGCTGGGCCGATCGCACCGCGCGACAGGGCAGGCACTAACGGACCAATGAAATTTGGGGTGGGAAAAAAAGGGCAGACGACATTAAGAGTCACAATCCAGACACAGCAGCAGCAACAATTGTAGCACGCAGCATCGCGCTCCTCGAACTCGAATTGATGCCCTTCTGAACTCCAAGGGGGACGCATCTCAGCAGCCTCCCTTTGACTGCAACGGCCTTGGCTCTGTGACTCACGTTTCCCCCAGACCCCACCATAAAACGTAGCCGTTGATGAAGCCCTTTCGTTTTATCGCACACCAGTCTTCTATTCGTTCCACAGCTAGCTTCTGTGCACTTCGGCCGGCCGCTTTTTCACTTGCCCACTTTCAGAACTACCCCTCCCCCTCCTCCACGTCCACCTCGCTTTCCTCCCACCACAACCTTTTGCTGCACAGCAACCGCACCCGCACGCTCACCACTTCCCGTCACCTCAACAGGGCCAAAGTCTTAACGAAGAAGCGTGCTGCTGCCGACGACGACGACATGACGACCCCCGCGACGACCCTCAAGGGCCAGCCCCTCGACCGGCCGACGCTCGACGCCATGCTGCGCCGCCGTCTCTTCTTCACCCCCGCCTTCGAGATCTACGGCGGCGTCGCTGGTCTGTTCGACTACGGCCCTCCCGGCTGCGCTCTTCAGGCCAACATCGTCGACCTCTGGCGCAAGCACTTCATCCTCGAGGAGGACATGCTCGAGCTCGACTGCACCGTTCTGACCCCCCACGAAGTCCTCAAGACCTCCGGCCACGTTGACAAGTTCGCCGACTGGATGTGCAAGGACCCCAAGAACGGCGATATCCTGCGTGCCGACCACTTCGTCGAGGATGTGCTTGATGCCCGCCTCAGGGGCGACAAGGAGGCCCGCGGCGAGAAGGTCGAGGAAGAGGATGACCCCAAGAAGAAGGCCAAGAGGAAGCAGAGGGCCTTCGCTGTCAAGCTCGACGACGCCCTCGTCCAAGAGTACAACGAGGTCTTGGCCAAGATCGACAACTACGACGGCAAGGAGCTCGGCGAGCTGATCAAGAAGTACGACCTCAGGAACCCGGCCACCGCCGAGCAGCCCTCCCCTCCCGTCGCCTTCAACCTCATGTTCCAGACCGCCATCGGCCCCTCCAGCAACACCAAGGGCTACCTGCGCCCCGAGACCGCCCAGGGCCAGTTCCTCAACTTTGCCAAGCTTCTCAACTTCAACATGGAGCAGATGCCCTTCGCCTCCGCCTCCATCGGCCGTTCCTACAGAAACGAGATTGCCCCGAGAGGTGGCCTGCTGAGAGTCCGCGAGTTCCTCATGGCCGAGATTGAGCACTTTGTCGACCCCGAGGGCGGCAAGAAGCACTCCCGCTTCGTAGAGGTCGAGGACATCGAGCTCACCCTGCTCGACCGCCACACCCAGCTCTCTGGCAAGACCGATGTGCGCAAGATGAAGATTGGCGAGGCCGTCAAGAACAAGGTCGTCGACAACGAGACCCTCGGCTACTTCCTCGCCCGCATCCACCTGTTCCTGTCCAAGATCGGTGTCGACATGACAAAGGTCCGCTTCCGCCAGCACATGGCGAACGAGATGGCCCACTACGCCGCCGACTGCTGGGACGCCGAGCTGTTCACCTCCTCCGGCTGGATCGAGTGTGTCGGCTGCGCTGACCGCAGCGCCTACGACTTGACCGTCCATGCCAAGAAGACCGGCGCTCCCCTGCTGGTGCGCGAGCGCCGCGAGAAGCCCCTCGTCATCGACGAGTGGCAGGTCGAGGTTGACAAGAAGAAGTTCGGTCCTCAGTTTAAGAAGGACGGCAGGGCAGTCGAGGGTGCTCTGATGGCGACAACACAAGAGCAGCGCGAGAAGTTCGCCAAGCAGCTCACCGACAACGGCGAGCTGGAGCTCGAGGTTGCCGGCGTCGCCGACGGCAAGGTCAAGATCAGCAAGGACCTCGTCAAGATCGAGTTCAGGCAACGCATTGAGAACACCAGGGAGTACACTCCCAACGTTATCGAGCCGTCCTTCGGTATCGGCCGTATCCTCTACTCGCTCATTGAGCACTGCTACTGGAACCGCGCTTCCGCGGACGGTGGCGACGAGGCTCGTGGTGTAAGTTACCAGCCCCCTTTTCCAGGGTCTACACGAGTACGGCGATCACGGACACAGCACACTAACATTTCTTCCAACTAGGTTCTCTCCTTCCCTCCGACGGTCGCCCCTACCAAGGTTCTGATCGTGCCCCTCTCCTCCAACGCGCAGTTCAAGCCCTTCATCAAGCAGATCTCTCAGAAGCTGCGCAAGTTCGGCATCTCCGCCCGCGTGGACGACTCGTCCGCGACCATCGGCAAGCGCTACAGCCGCAACGACGAGCTCGGCACGCCCCTCGGCATCACCATCGACTTCCAGACCGTCCAGGACAACACCATCACCCTCCGCGACCGCGACTCGACCAAGCAGGTCCGCGGCGACGAGGACACCATCATCGCCGCCATCCAGACCCTGGTTGACGGCTCCAAGGAGTGGAAGGACGTCGCGGCCACCCTGCCGGCGTTCGAGAGCCAGGAGGTCGAGGTCGCACAGCGATAAAGAGTCGCGTCTCATACGTCACATACCCCTCCTTTTGATGTAAGGAATTCAGAAGACAGACAGACGAGAGACGATTAAAGGAGTAAAATTAAGACCAAGGCTCGCTAGGTAGAAAAGCCGCGTGTAGGGGCGGCATCTGTAGACATCCTCAACTGAGAAAAGATGAAAACATGAACCTTTTTTTTCTTTCTTTCTTACATACTCATCTGTTTCCCGATGCGCGTCTGCGTTCCACGCATGACGACATTTCCCAAGCTTCCGGTCTTGGCTGAACACCTGGAGCACAGTAAGTAACCTCCATCTCTTCGGATGCAACTGTCCTGCGAGATCATGCACGGCATACAAGAAACGAAGAAACGTGTA